GACCAGACATCCCTGCTGCCATCTCGGGCCCGGGGGGGTCCCACTGCAGGGCGGTGGCGGGCTTCCCCAGGGCAGCGCCGGTGGGTGCTTAGGAGAGAGCGCCGCGTAGGCCTGCTTCTCTCGCCCTGGGGAGTTTGTCTCCCGTTGCGCTGAAGTTGGTTTTACGTCCAGGTCTCCCAGCGCCAGGCACGGTGCTCGAGCCTGGAGGTGTTTACAACGGGCGCTGTTGCTGCTGCCCACGGGCTGAAGGTAAAATGGTGAGAAGGGCCGTGCGTGAAGACCTGCTCCTTCCTGCCGAGCCGTGTCAGGCCCGCTGGGAGAAGATGTGACAGGGCAAGCACCCCAGGGACGCTGTTGACATGCTGAGCCAGCCCAGCCCGCAGCAACACGCACACACACAGGAGCACTGGGGCAAGGACAGGTTCAGGTATGTACGCAAGCTGTACCTAACAGAGGCACCGGCACTTGAATTAAAATTTTGGATCTTTTTGTCCCTTGATGGGCTTTGGCCTGCACAATGATTAGTACCAAACTTTGATTATCAAAAACAAACTCACAATCAAAACAACTCATATTGGACCTTTCTCTCATTTCTCAATGTCCACAAACAAAACTGATAGTTTCATACTGTATTTACGTATAACAATACAGCTCAGTACATGAGAGAGCGTGAGTGACTTAAGGCAAACCCCTTCTTTAAAAGCAAGAACTGGAGTCGAATTTGGACCCTTCTCTCCATCTGGAAAACAGCTATACTGTTTCTTTTCCATGTTCGAGACGCCATTGTAACAGCAGGTACAATATTAGAATACTTAATCCAATGATTCCTTGATACGCTTCTACATGGAGCCTACTAAGTCACAATGAAAAAGCTTTCCTTGTGTCCTCAATCTTTGAGGAAGTCACATAACCATAGAGCACTTTAAAGCAAGGCATCCGTTCTCTGCTCCCAAAACTGATGTCCGAGTTATGGCCTACAAAATACAGGACCTTAGATAAAAAAAAAAATACTAATCAGTATCTTCCCTGCCTAAAACAGAACAGGAATAGAACAAAGGGAAAAGGCTCAGATAAAATTACAAAACATTTCAGTTTTATTAAGAATAACTTACATACAAATAAATTATCTTTAAAAATACTATAACACATTTTTATATTAAGTTTAAATTAAGTCTTAGAAGTCACATTGGCCTTTCTTGCAATCAGCAGTCTGATTCTGTTCTTGAGTCTTGTTCCAGTTCATCTTCATCATCTTCACTATCTGAGTCTTCATAAAAGGAAATTGTAGCTTGAACTGGAAAGTTTTTCAGAAGTGCTTCAGCTTCCTGATATAAGTAATCATAGCACCTTGATTTGGGCCAAAATAGTCTGAAACAAGTATACAACAGGTTTGCTTATTGTTATTACACATTCTACTTGGAGGCTGACAGACAAGAAACAGCAGTGAAATTCTGTTAAGACAAGCATCCTACAGAGTTTTTCCTCACATCCTCAACTGCTAAACTGCTTTCTACATTTAAATAGAACAAAAAATTCTCTGGATTCTTTCTGTATTTTCATCTGAAGAGATAAAGATGCACTTAAAGTGCTAGTTTTGCAGCAAAACTACTCTACAGCCCAAGATCCACTGCATCTGAAACTTACCACTCCAGTACCTCATTAACAGTGTTACGTGGGGATCTGATCCAAGTAATACTGCCCTCACTGGAACTATTCCTAGGGAATGTAATGGGTGTCAAACAGGATCCCCAACACATTTGGATTAAATTAGTAGTTTTGTTACTGAAGGTCCCCAACCGAGGTAGTTGTTTACAATGGCGTGAGATAAATCTCAAAGTGAAAGGAATGATAAAGGTCAAGGGGATCAGACCGTGATATTTCACCCCTGTCTTTCCAAGAAGAATCATCTAACAGACTCCTTACAGAGGATGCCCCATGGGTCTAGATTTTGAAGTAGTCTGTGTTGTGTCCAGAAATTAAACATAAAAATTGCTGATAATATCATGGTTAGCAAGGGCTATCAGCTAGTGATACAATAAATTGCAATTAGTATACTCCACAGTTCCTGTTCCTTTTCGACTAGCATCCTCTTTCGCTTACAGTTTGGAAGTAGCTGGAAGAAACAGACAATAGAAGTCCCAAGAGCTAAGGGACTAGCACACTGCAACATAATTAAATGCCGACTACAGATTGTTTATAATAGAAATACATTAAGAAACAGAACTAGATGGGTTTCTAGCAATTACGAAGAGTGCTTTCTAGGCTACTGTTTGACAGAACGCTGCTTCCTTTGCAGCACAAAGTAACTGACACTTGCTTTGTAACATCTCTCCATTCCCAGCGTTCCCTGCAGCGTTCACTCATAGCTAACCACCGGAGCAGGCACAGTGAAGTCAGGGTCCGTGCCATTGCTTAGATAGTCTGTGCATCAGCACTTGAAGGATCAGAGCCTAGATCTGGGAGAAAGCTGCATCTTGTCTGGAAGAACTACCTGTGCAATTACTTTAAGCACCTTGCAACACCTATTAGTACTTCTGAATACAGACTCCTGCAGATTCAACTGTAGTTATTTTATTTCCTTTTCAGAACTGACAGTGCAGATACTATCCTTAACCTTCATCATTAAAGCAGTAGTTACATGAGTATTTTTCTCAGCAATGCTGGCTTAGCCCGTACCCTCTCCTCCTGCCACTCCTTCCCATGCCTGCACCTGCTTCCTTGCACCAGGAGGACACTGGAGGTTTACACAGCAAGACGGACTAGAAACTACCCCCCCTCCTTTTTTTTGATCCTGGGCACAGGAATGAGTAGCAAGGTGCTTCAGCCAAATCTGCCACCACAGAAAGGAGCCACATAACTGTGGAACATGTCTTAAGTCCCACACCACAGAAGCACATCAACATCTCATCTTAAAGAGCTGGTAAATCCACAAGTGCTGGCCATCATTTGCCCAAGGACCTGTCAGTTCAAAAGGACTTAGGTGGCTAAATCACGCCGAAGGCGCTTTAATATCTTATATAAATATATGGGTGGGATCAAAAGGGGTGAGGGAGCCAGTGCTTGGCCAGCCCGGCACTACACTGCCGAGCAAGGGGCTCTTCCCTCCCGGCCGCGCAGCACCACGGACTCCGGCAGCGAGGGGACCGGGTGCCCGGAGCTCCCCCGCGGGACCCGGCGGCAGCCCGGGACAGCCACTTACCTGACGGGGTGGGTGTACTGCGCCAGCTTTC